ATACATGTGTGTATACACACACACACACACTCACACTTATTACATATATTTCTTCAATCCTCACCGAGGATATTTTTCCACTGATTTTTAGAGAGAGTGGAAGAGAGAGGGGAAGACAGAAACACATCGATTGGTTGTCTCCTGCACATGCCCCGACCAGGGCCTGGACCAAGGAGGAGCCTGCAACCAAGGTACGTGCCCTTGATTGGAACTGAACCCAGGATCCTTCGGCCCTAAAGCCGATGCTCTATCCACTGAGCCAAACCAGCTAGGAATATTTTTATATTTAAATATATCTAAAAAAATACTTGTTACCTGAAAAAATAAGTATTTTTAAATTTTTGATTTAATTTCAAATATAGCAAATATTAATAGTTATAACCCACGTAACCTACTAATTTTTTTTAACAATCGGTAATTTTTAAGAATGTAAAGGGACTATGAGACAAAAAAGTTTGAGAGCTGCCAGCATAGAAGCTCTGTAGAAGACTGTCTAGCTCCATACAACTTACAGGTTTTGTGACATCAGTCAGTTATTTAGCCACACTGTGCCTCAGTTTCCTCCTCTGTAGAATGGAGATAATACTAACCTCAAAGGATTATCATGAACATTAAATGAAATAATACATGTAAAGCATTTGGAACACTACCTGACACAGTAAATATTCAAACTTGAATTCTTATTATTTGTAAAGCAGTTTTTAATCAAATTAAAATACTCCGTTTCAGCCCTGGCCAGGTAGCTCAGTTGGTTAAGAGCACTGTCCCAATACACCAAAGTTTTGTGTTCAATCTCCAGTCAGGGCACATACAAGAGGCAACCAATGAGCTCGGCTAGTGTTGCTCAGTGGTTGAGCGTCTACCCACGCACCAAGACCTTTCCAGTTCAATTCCCCCAGGCAGGGCACATGCCCGGGTTGTGGGCTCAATCTGTGAGGGCCATGTAGGAGGCAGCCAATCGATGTTTCTCTCTCTCTCTCTCACTCTCCCTTCCTCTCGCTCTGAAAATCAATAAAACCATTTTTTTTTAAAAAAAGCAACCAATGAATAAACAAATGGAATAGGAAATCAATGTTTTTTCTCCCTCTCCCTTCCTCTCGCTCTGAAAATCAATAAAACCATTTTTTTTAAAAAAAAGAAGCAACCAATGAATAAACAAATGGCATAGGAAATCAATGTTTTTTTCTCCCTCTCCCTTCCTCTCTAAAAAAATCAATTAAAAAAATTCTTTGACCCTAGCTGGTTTGGCTCAGTGGATAGTGTCAGCCTGTGGACCCCCAGTTTCAATTACAGTCAAGGGGGCACGCACCGCAGTTGCAGACTCCTGCCAGGGCCCTGGTTGGGGCGCGTGCAGGAGGCAACCAATCCATGTGTCTCTCTCACATCGATGTTTCACTCAATGTCTCTCCCCCTTCCATGCTCTCTAAGAATCAATGGAAAAATATCCTCGGGTGTGGATTTAAAAAAAAAAAAAAAAAAAAAGCCTGTAATTGCTGCAGAGAGCTACAGACAAAAAAGTTTTTTTAAGTACTGTTTCAAATTTAGGCATTTCCAATTTTATCAAATCAAACATTTGAGTCGCCTTGACACAATCAGATATTTGAGTTTTAGGACAATCTTTCCTGGATTTTTACTTATCACATACTTTTTTTAATCTTCAAATTTGCTAAAGCTTTATTATTTTGGGTCTCCAGTGAAAACACTGACTGTTGGAAGACTCATAACTTCAAATTCTGAAAACAGTTACAGGAAGGGTAGAAAAATAAACACCTCAAATTATTTTCTCCAAGCAGTAGCCCTTAAACCTCAGCAAGATGAAAACCATAAACTTACATCTAAAAAAAAAAAGGTCTAACTTATTACATATAAGGTTTTGCGAAACTGAAAAGAAAGGCAACTTACAGAGTCATGGGTGAGGTATGTATCGCAGTAGTCACAATAAAACCTGGAAAGAGATGGAAGGTAGAGAAAAAGAGATGACAACCAGTTGTTCATAGATGCCCATTCCCCGAAGTGCTGTTCACTGAAGGTAAAAAATTAAAAAACCTAGTAACGATTAGTACATGTCAAAGGATCCTTAAATAAACCAGGCTTTTTTGTTGCCAAACGCGAAAC